CAGTCTGATAGGAAAGAAGACTCAGATAACTAACACATGTGGTAATGTACCCCAAGACAGGTACAGAGTCCTGTGGAAAGCCCGATCAAGTGGAGGAGCAGTAGCATTTGAGCCAAGCCTTCAATAAATTTTTTACGTCTTCAGCCAGTATTTATTGAGCACCTAATATCTGCCAGGCCCTGGGCAAGGTGATAGGTAGATAGTATTAAATAAGACAGGCAGGGCTGGATGTGGTGGCTCACACTTGTAATCCTAGTACTCTGGAAGGCCGAGGTGGGAGGATTGCTTGAGCTCAGGAGTTCGAGACCAGCCTGAGCAAGAGCGAGACCCCATCTCCAAAAAATAGAAAAGCTAGCCAGACATGGTGATGCATGCCTGTAGTCCCAGCTACTTGGAAGCTGAGGCAGAAAGATGGCTTGAGCCTAGGAGTTTGAGTTTGCAGTGAGCTATGATGATGCCACTATACTCTACCTGGGGCGACAGAGCGAGACTCTGTCTCTAAATAAATAAATAAGAAAGAAAGAAAGGCATGGCCTGTACCCACATGAAGTTTACAAGGACAAATAGTGGGGTTAGGAGGTCAGTAAGCAGGGGGAGTGATAGAGGGAGGAGAGTGTGGCTTCCTTGAAGAGGTGGTGTTTAAACCAGGATGAGGCAGTTATGCCAAGAGCTTGGGGGAGAGGGAGAAAAGAGGGGTGCTGTGGAGTGGAACAGTATAATCCAGCCAGGGAGAGGTGTGTGTGTGAAAGGACGAGGCAGGAAAGCATGCAGCCGAAAACCTGAAAGGAGGCCAGTGTGACCAAAGCACAGGGGGGGCGGGAGGAAAGAAATGGGTGAAGGTCGTGAGGCAGGGGCCTGAGGATGTGGGCCTTTGTTGGGGACAGTGATCTTTGCTATGTGGAGAACTGGTTGGAAGGAAAGGGTGGAGCGGAGTGAGGAGGCTGCCGTAAAATGTGCTTTGTGAAATGCGAAGTCCTGTAGAAATATGAGGTATCATTATTATTAACAATGAAATAAAATAAAAGTTAAAAGTAAAGCATTCTACCAGGTGAGAGTGGAATGTACCTTTCAAGTAATTAAGTGGCAAATTCAGTAGCCTGTTATGAATACCATTCTGCTTCTTTTCTCTTTCATTTCATCATTCTGCTACTTTCTCTTTCCGTCAAAATGATTTGCAAAACATCCCCATTTCACTTACTCAGATTCCAGGCCCATGTGATACAGAGGCCAAAGCATCTGCTTGGAAACCAAGAGAGCCTGTGTGCAGAGATGCTGCTGTTTGCAGGGCTCCGCTCCCCAGTGATGGCGTCCTCCTAGGAGTGTCTGGAGTTAGGTTTGGAGGAGGGAAGGAACCAAGGACACCAACCTCTTTAGGCTTGCTTTTGGATTTTAAAGGGGGGAATTTTTTTCTTAAGTAAAGATGTTTTCCCCTTTTTGTAAATGCTTAAGAAATACAGTGTACTTTCCCCCCATGAAGCCTTTTTCTTCTTTTAATTCAGCTTCCAACTATCAAAACAATAGGGGAAGACCTACTCTATTTTGATCAAAAAAAAAAGTGACAATAAATGCAACTTACTATCCCATATAAAGATAAATGGATAGTGTGTAACATCATTTACCGTTGTTCTGTCTCTGCTCCAATGTATTTGTTTTTGTTTGTTTTTATTATATTCATTTTTCCCTTAAGTAATAGGCGTGCTCCTTGTCACTAAGTAAACAATTTGAAGATGTATAAAGAAAAAGTTATAATCTCTCTCCTTACTCCCCGTTTCCATCCTTCTGCGATCACCAGTGTTATGAGTTTGGTATATATTCTTCCATATCTATCTCCAACCTCCTATTTAAATGAATATAAGGTTTGAGTGTATATGTGGTTATCTGTTTTGTCAAAAGTGGTACCATATTTTATTCATTCCTCTGCAGTTTATTTTTCTCACTAAATAATACATCATGGGTAGTTATAGATCTAATTCACTCTTTTTAAATGGCTTCAAGCCTATAGATCTAGAAGTACCACAGTATAGTCAACCATTTCTCTTTTGACAGATATTTGAGTTATCTGGGTTTTTTCCACACAAATATTGTTGCATCAAATATCTATATGTATATATCCTTCTTTACTGGTGCTTTTGTTTCAATAGGTTACATTTTCAAAAATAGCATTGCTGGGTCAAAGGGTATTTGTATTTAACATTTTAATAGATAATACCATCCTACTTTAAAAAGAGTTGGAGTAATTTACATTCTTCCCAGCAATATATGAGTACTTCCATTTCCTTAAATCTTTACCAATATTAGATATTCTCTGCCTTCTTCCCTTTTACCTCTCTTACCCCCTCCTTTCCTTTCTCTATATTATTTTGTGGCCAACCTAATGCGGGGGGAAAATGGTGTCTTATAGTTGCTTACTTTGTATTGTCTTTACTACTAGTGAGATTAAACATTGTTTCATGTTAATTGGCCACTTCATTTTCCTCTTCGATAAATTTCCTTCACCTATTTTTGTTGAGTTATTTGCTTTTTTTTTTTTTGAGACAGAGTCTCACTCTTTTGCCCGGGCTAGAGTGAGTGCCGTGGCGTCAGCCTAGCTCACAGCAACCTCACACTCGTGGGCTCAAGCAATCCTCCTGCCTCAGCCTCCCTAGTAGCTGGGACTACAGGCATGCGCCACCATGCCCGGCAGTTTTTTCCATATATTTTTAGTTGTCCGATTAATTTTTCTATTTTTAGTAGAGACGGGGTCTCGCTCTTGCTCAGGCTAGTTTCGAACTCCTGAGCTCAAACAATCCGCTAGGATTACAGGCGTGAGCCACCGCGCCCGACCGAGTTATTTGCTTTTATCTCAACAAGTTCTAGGACCTTTTTATATATTTATATGTTAAGGATTACATAATGTGCTATAAATATTTTTCCTAATCTATCACTTTGTTTTTATTGTTAAATATAGTATTATTGCAAAATAATATCTATTTTCTATTTTTCTCTTCATAGTGTCTGGATTTCTTGCCTTGTTTAGGAATAATTTCCATACTTTAGAGTTACATAAATATTTTCCTAAATGTTCTTCTAATATTTTTATTGTTTTAATTAACTTAATCCAGAACCTTTAATCCCTTTGGAATTTATGTTCATATGTAATAAGAGGTAGCTTTCTTCTAGTTATGTCAATACCACTTCTTAAATAAACCATCTTTTTCCTTTTGTATTGAAATCCTACTTTATTTTATAAGGAAGTTCCTTTATTGTATCTATTTCTGGACTTTCTAATCTAGTCCACAAACATATTTGTCTAGTCTTATGTTAATACCATATCTTTTTAATATAATATCTTTATAGTAAATTTTAATTATTTCGTAAGACAAATCCCCTAATTATTTTTCATAATTTTTTTACTATTTCTTGGCCAATTTTCTTGCATATTTATTATTCCATATGAACTTTAAAGTAATTTTATCCATTCCCCCTCCTAAAAAAACTATTGACATGCTTATTGAAATTTAATTAAAATTATGTAGTAATTGAAGGATTGACATTTTTTGATAATTAGGCCTTTTCATCCAAGAACATGCTAACTGATTTGACACTTAATGCATTCTATTTCTATTTTTTGTTGTTTTTGCTTTTAAAATTTTAATATGCATCATGGATATATTGTCTAAAGTAAAACATTTCTATGTTTCTCCTAAATAATCAAAGAACTTAAAAGTTTTAATTCTGATCTCTCTTCCATCCTCAATATTATTATTATCAAATATTTAATGTTATCAGATATTGTCAAATTTGTTTTTCTCTCTCATTGGCTTTGTTTTTGTCAATCGGTACTTTATGTATTTATTTTTTGAGGCAGAACGTCACTCTGTTGCCCTGGGTAGAGTGCAGTGGCATCATCATAACTGACTGCAATCTCAAACTCCTGGGCTCGTGGTGATCCTCCTGCCTCTGCCCACCTAGTAGTTGGGACTACAGGCATGTGCCACCATGCCTGGTTAATTTTTTTTTTTTCTATTTTTAGTAGACACATGGGGTCTTGCTCTTGCTCAGGCTGGTCTCGAACTCCTGAGCTCAAGCAATCCTTCCACCTTGGCCTCCCAGAATGCTAGGATTACAGGCATGAACCAACCACTCCTCGTCCTCAATCAGTACTTTAAATTTACCAATGTGCTTACTAATTCCTTTGCTCACTGCTGATTCTAAAATCTCATTTATGTTATGTGTCAGTCTCCTTGCTTGGAAAATATTCTTGGGATCTGTGAGTGATAAACTTGCTTAGTCTTTGTTTGAAAATATCTTTTGCCCTCATTCTTGATATTTTAGCTGGATATAGAATTTTGCATAGACAGCATGTGTAAGTTCTGAAAGTTATATACAGCCCTCTTTAAAAGTTGTCAATCAAAACAGAAATAGATAATGTACAAAGTTGAAAGTCTTTCATTCCTTTCCTCACAATCTCTCTGAGTCCTAGAGAGAACCACTCTTTGTAGTTTGTTTTTTTCTGTGTATACTTTAAAAATTTTTAAACTGTAAACTCTGTATACTTTTAAACATGTATATTTACACAAATGCTTTCCTTTTTTCTAAGTATAAATACTCATGTTCATATTTTTTATTAAAAAAGTGATAATTCATGCAATTTTACAATATACTCTTTAATAATCAAGCATGTATATTTTTCCATGTCAGTACAATGAAATCTCTCTCATTCTTTGAAATAACTATATAGTTTCACATTGTATTGATACACCATAATTTAACTCTTATTCTGTTAACAGGCATTTAAGTCATTTCCCTCTTTGTTTTGCTACTGTATGTTTCACTGAGTATCCTTTTACGTATGTAAACATATGTATTGTACAAATTCCTGGACATTTGGCTAACCCTAATGGATGTGCACATTTAATATGTTAATAGATATTATTAACTTGCCTTCCCAAAAGATTGTTTCAGTTTACAACCCCAGAGTATGTCTGGCTCTAATTTTTGTTTTTCTTTTGGTTCCTTAGAATTTCCACACTGATTAGTCAACAGTGCAAAATCTGAAGAGATGCAAGCAGGAAAAAGAAATTAAACCAGGTGAGTAGTCATGCTGTTCATACCATGCTACCAGAGCATCACAGATTTTTGCCTAAATACCTGTATTTCTGCTTGAAGAAAGAAAATAAGTAGGTTTTAAATTAAAAACGAAAGAGTACTTGTGCAAAGCTTCTAGAACTATTATTAATATTTACTTAAACCATGTGCCAGACATTATGATAAGCACTTAAGTACTTCTTAATCTCATTTAGTTTAATCTTATGAGGTACATGTATATTATCCGCATTTTATAGATCAGTAAACTGAGGCTCAAAGAGGTGAAACTACTTGCCCGTGTTAACACAGTTAGGAAGAAGTAGAAGAGCCAGAGTGCACAGGGCTTGCCATTCTGCTGATACTCTTTCTACAGACATTTCAGACAGTATGGAAGCCACAGAGAAATTAAGAGACAGCTTCTCTGTTGTCTTATATCTTGAAAATTCTGTGCAGAGCCCTCACATAACTAACACATGATCTGGAACTGAATCCTGAGGCCAACATGCCCATTTAGCATTTCCCCCAATCCTTTTCTTAAAGTGCATTAAAAAGGGCTGCTACCTTTCCACCACATGGGCACACTGCATGGCACCCAGGAGTGTGCCTGCTCGTCTCCCAGGCTGTTTTCCTTCTGACCTCAGCAAGGAGGACAGGTCATGCATGCAGGGAAAGCATGTAGTTATTCCTCAAGAAGGCTGCCACCTCCTCTGGCCTGGCACAGACACTGAAGACGTTCCCCATCTCCTGGCTGAGGAAAACTCCTTGGAGAGGCGCCAGTGAAGCAAGCAGAGAGTAGAAAGTGAGAAAGAATCTCGCCTTGCTGAACAAGATCTCCAACGCCCAGGACTGGAAAGGGTTCAAGCTGTGTCCACACCAAGCCATTTAAAGAATGGGCCAAGTATAATAGAATCAATATTGTCAAAATGTCCCTACTACCCAAAGCGATCTACAGATTTAATGCCATCTCTATCAAGATTCCAATAGCTTTTTTCAGAGAAATAGAAAAAAAAAATCCTAAAATTCATATGGAACCATAAAAGATCCCAAATAACTAAGGCAATCTTGAGCACGAAGGATAACAAAGTTGGAGGCATCATTCCACTTGATTTCAAATTATATCACAAAGCTATGGTAATCAAAACAGTATGGTACTGGCATAAAAAAAGACATATAGACCAATGGGGAATATATTGAATGGAAAGGCCAGAAATAAACCCACACGTGTACAGTGAGCTAACCTTGGACAAAGGTGCCAAGAATACACAATAGGGAAAGGATAATCACTTCAATCAATGGAAAAACTTGATATACACATGCAAAAAATGAAATAGGATTCTTATACCATACATAAAAACCAACTGTAAATGGATTAAAGATTTAAATGTAAGACCTAGAACCTTAAAATCCCAGAAAAAAACGGGGGAAAACTCCATGATATTGGGCTTTGGCAGTGATTTTTTGGATGTTAGCGCAAAAGCAAAGAAACAAAGTAAAACAAGTAGACTACATTAAACTAAACAGTTTGTGCTGGATGACTGGGTAAAGAAAATGTGATATACCGTGGTATACTACTCAGCCATAAAAAAGAATGAAATCATGTCTTTTGCAGCAAGATGGATGGAACTGGAGGCCATTGTCTTAAGTGAAATATTAAATAATTCAGAAACAGAAAATCAAATACCACATGTGCTCATTTATACGTGGGAGCTAAATGTGTACACATCTACATAGAATGGAGTAATAGATAGATAGTGGAGACTCAAAAGGGTGAGAGGGTAGGAGAGGGGTGAGGGATGGAAAATTACTTAATGGGTACAGTGTACACTGTTCAGATGATGGTTACACTATCAGCCCGAACTTCACAACTATATACTGTACTCATGTAACAGAACTGCACTTGTACCCCCTAAATCTATAGAAGTAAAAATAAATAAGTTTATGCATAGCAAAGGAAATAACAGAATGAAAAGACAACTTATGGGATGGGAGAAAATATTTACAAACCATATATCAAATAAAGGGTTAATATTCAAAATATATAAGGAACACATATAACTTAATAGCAAAAAAACAAGTAACCCAATTAAAAAATGGACAAAGGACCTGAATAGATATTTTTTCAAGGCATACAAATGGCCAAGAGGTTTATGAAAAGGTGCTCAACATAACTAATCATCAGAAAAATACAAATCAAAACCACAATGAGATATCACCTTACACATTAGAATGACTATTATAAAAAAGTCAAGAGATAAATGTCGACAAGGACATAGAGAGAGGGAACCGTTATACAGTGAGTCCTCACTTGATGTCATTGATTGGTTCTTGTAAACTGTGATTTTAAGTGAAACAACATATAACGAAACCAACTTTACCAGAGGCTAATTGATAGAAACAAGAGTTAATTCCTATGGTATATTTCTGGTCACAGAAACATCACCAAACTTCTAAATGAAGGCCAAAACACTTCTAACATTAAACATTGAAATAAATGTGAATTATACATTTAGGAAAGATTAATAAAAAGTATGACAATTATTTATACAGTCATTCCGCTTCAGGGTCATAGGTGGCCAGGGCCTATCCTGGCAGCTCAGGGAACAAGGCAGGAACCCACCCTGGACAGGACACCATTCTATCACAGCGTGCACTCACAGACACACCCTCCCACACTCACTCATACCGGAACAATTTAGATGTACCTGTGTGAACCTAACGTGCACATGTTTGAGATATGGGAGGAAACTGGAGTGCCCAGAGAAAACCCATGAAGACCTACGAGAACATGCAGACTTCACACAGGCAGTGGCCTCAGCTGAGAATCAATTTATTTTTCTCATCAATGTTGAAATGAAATGAAATTGAGTGAAATGACGTTGAATGAAACAGCGTTGAATGAAAGGACGTTATTCAAGGACCTGGGCACGTTGTTGGTAGGAATGTAAATTGGTATGGCCATTATGGAAAACAGTATAGAGGTTCCTCAAAAGAGTAAAACTAGAACTACAATGTGATCTAACGATCCCACTACTGGGGATATAGTCAAAGGAAATAAAATCACTATTTTGGAGAGATATCTGCACTCCCATGTTCATTGCAGCATTATTCACAGTAGCCACAATCTGGAAACAACAAACCTAAGTGTCCATTGACAGATGAATGGAAAAAGAAAGTGCGAAGGGTGTATACTCACACACACACTGGAATATTATTCAGCCTTTAAAAAGAAGAAAATCCTGCCAATTGCAACAACATGGATGAACCTGGAGGACATTATGCTAGGGAAATAAGCCAGACACAGAAAGACAAATACTGTGTGATCTCACTCATGTGGAATCTAAAAAAGTTGGACTCAGAGTAGAAGGGTGGTTACCAGGAGTTGGGTAGGGGGAATGGGAAGATATTGGTCAAAGGATACAAATTCGCAGTTAGAAGATGAATAAATTCTGGAGCCCTGATGTACAGCATGGTAACCATAGTTCATTAAAATGTATTATATACTTGAAATTTGCTAAGAGCATAGATCCCAAGTATTCTCACCACACAAAAAAAGATCACTATCTGATGTGGTAGATATGTTAATTAGCTTGATTGTGGTAATCAGGTCATGGTATATACATATATCAAAACATCACATTGTACATGTTAAATATATACAATTTTTATTGGTCAATTAAATGTTAATAAAACTGAAAAAAAATAAAGTGCCCAGTTCACAGGAAGCCATCAGTCAAGCCTTGAGCTCTTGCGTTAGCATATAGAATATAGTTGGTACTTTTATAGCTTATAAATAAATGAGTGCTCTTGTGCCGAGCACTGGGCTAAACTTGTAAATCCAGGGTCTCATTAGCTCCTGTTATTATTCATGTTTTATCAAGGAGGAAACTGAGGCTCTTGGAAATTACATTTGGCCAGTGTGCCAAAGCTGAAAAGTGGCTTAACCAAGATTTCACTGTAGCTTTTATTTTTTAGCTCCGTATCTTTTATTTTTTAAACTACACCAAAATGGCTTTTGGAATTTAGCTTCACTTTTCTGGAAATGGTAACTACCACCTTTTATTGACTATCTCACCATGTGAGCCAGGCATTATACATCTATTATTTCTAATCCTAATACAACTTTGCAAGTTTTGAAAGTATTATTGTTCCCATTTCACAGATGAAGAATTTGAAGTTCAGAGAGGTTTGGAATCTTGCCTAACTAAGTGGTGGAGCCAGGATTAGAACCCAAGTTTTATCTGAGACTAGAGTGAGCTCTCAGCTCTCCTGTACTTCCTCCATTCCTTACTTTTTCAGGTTCTTAGGAGGAAAGGACTCAAAAAAATTATGCATGAATTTCCTTTAACCTCACAACCACCCTAAGAGTTGGGGATTGGTATCTCTATTTTACAAGAGAAGAAACTGAGGCTCAGGGATGTTAAGTGATTTGCCTCAGCACCATATGGCTAGTAATTCATGGAGCCACGATTCAAAGAGCCTCCAATCCATAGTGTACTGGCCTCCCCCATTCCCACCCCTCCTACCCCCTTTCAGCTCTGTCTCCTGACTGTTAGGCCAGAATCTCCAGCCTTTATTTCTCTAAGTCCTAGTAGTCCTGGGAGTTTGGGGGATTTCCAGCTCCCTTGAATTCCTTCTTAGGACTTACTGTGCCTCCAGCTCCTCTCCTAAGATTTCTCTTCTCATCTGGAGGAAACTGCCTTGAGCTTGGAGCTCCTTGACTGCTTATCAGCAAGGCTGCTGGGCCTTGCCCTACTGCAGCTTCCCAAGCCACCAGGCTTGTGTCCTGTTCTGACTCAGGGCCCCTGGGAGTCCCCTGGATGCAGCAGTCAGCTCTCAGCACTGTTTTTCTGGCCAAGGCCAGTTTAGGTGGGCAAGCCTCCAAAGAGCCTTCTGTCCCCAACTGCTGTGGGAGCATCGAGGTCCAGAACCTCAGAGCCTTAAGAAGGCTGGGGTTATGTGACTTCTAGAGCTCAGGTTTTTAACCAGAGGTTTATGGGTAGGTG